TGTGGTGCACCCCTTTTGCACATCAGTTTCTGCTGATACTTCCTATAATAGCCACGTTATTTGTCAACTTGAGGCATCTGAAGATAAACCATTGAGTAAAATTTCTGAATTTTCGATATAGAAACCATATGCTTGTCTTCAAAGTTCTCTGATTGCTTCAGTTAGAACATTGTTTCTGCTGCTTCCATTAAGGCATTATGTGCATACACACACATGCGTAATCTGAACTTCCGCTTTTGATGTAAAATTTGAACTTTTTGTTGTTCCATGTAACTTTTATTAACACACTTATGTAACTGAAGCAAAATGATGAGTTAAAGCTTCTGAATTTATGATGTTGAAATCGTACATAGGTCTTCAAAGTTCTCTGATTGCTTCGGTCAGAACATTAACTTTCACTCTACATACATGCGTCCACGTGGGTTTTTGATGTAGAATTTGAACTTTCTGTGTACCCATATAATTTTTATTTAACACCCCTAGTTCCCTATGTATTTGGACAATGCTATAACATGCTTATTTTTCAGCATGATATGACTGAAGGAAAATGATGAGTCAAAAGTTCTGAATTTATGATGCAAATTTCATATATAGGTACTTCAAAGTTCTCTGATTGCTTCAGTTAGCACCGGTGTTTAGAAGCCCCAAATCTGGTGTTGGATCTGGATTGGCAATTCTAATCTGGATTGGCTGGTTCTCTGGGTCAAAAATGTATTTAAGAAAAAAACATTTAGAAAATTAGATTAGGATTGGCAATTCCAATCTTAATCGGTTGATTCTCTGGGTAAAAAATGTATCTAACAACACAAGAATATTTAGAAAATCAGATTATGTGCGAATTGCCCTGTTCTATGATGTGGATCGCCAATTCTACTGACAGATTTGCCCGGGTCTCCAATAGAACCTTGCGATTCCGGCTGAGTTGGATTGGTTCCTAGTTTCGTAAAGAAACCAGTTTGTTCCCCTACCAAATTGGTTCTGGATTGGCGATTCCTATTCTTGATTGGCAGTTTTATGACACTTGTCAGAAATTTCAACTGTATCTCTCTTGGGGGGAGGAAGGGAGGGACTTTATTTTATTTGTTTTTCTACATTGCTTTGAGATGACACTCTTCTGTCTTCAATTATATTTTATGTTAGCTTATTTTTCAGCATGATGACTGAAGCAAAATGATGAGTTATGTTTCTGAGTATGTGATGTAGAAACCATATACAGGTCTTCAAAGTTCTCTGATTGCTTCAGTTAGGACAGTCTCTCTCTCTCTCTCTCTCTCTCTCTCTCTCTCTCTCTCTCTCT